TAGCCTCATAAAACTGTTAAGGTGAATCCTTACAAAATTAATATTCAACAGCCTTTATATCACGCCCCTTCACTGCAGTGCTTAACTCAGTGTTTTTATCACCATAAAGCCCTCTCTAGATCTATAAATGCAACCAACTTAATAAGACACCACATAGTTTAAACATCATCTTCACGACCTCCCCACCACCAAATCGTTAATTTAGGACCAGACAACCAAGCAGACATCAATGACTGAAGAGGACTATACATCAAAGGCATGCTCTGCACAAAGGTGCACAGGATGAGAACCACGGTTGCATCCTTAAACACATTTGTTTTAAGAAACTCTTGGTTCTAATAAGAAGGAGCTTATCTGACTTCCCGAGCACTCACACAGGAGCACTACATATTTTTTGTACCATGTAACCTAAAAGAGTTCTTAATTCTTAAATAACCATGACTCCTCAGAAAGGAAGAAAAGCCGATATATGCATTTAAATATTGTGCTTTAATCCACACCCCAATACCTGTGTAATTTCCAACCTAAGTTTTACAGATCCTTCAATCCTATGAGCACATTTGGCATGAAAGTCTCCCAGAAGCCAGCTCTGGGGCGCACTTGGATGAGGCCTGTGGTGGCCCCAGCCCCACCCACCAGCACGGAACAGCCATGCATGGCCTTGGGGTGTCCCGGTGGAGAGGGCAGGGCCCACCCTCAAACTCCCCATGCTGGAGGAGGGGTGGGTTGAAACTGAAGCCTGCAGCTGCCGTCCTACCTCCTGGCCTGCAACAAACCCGGATGAGCCACGCCCCAGGCCGCCACAACTGTGTGCTTGGATGTGAGCGAGTGCCCGTGTGCATGTGCACCGGGGACCCACGGGGACCCCAGAGCCGGCTTCTGGGTGACTGGCCACCCCCACCAGCCTGTGTCCACACACACAGCTGTGCCTCTGGACCTGCACGCACGGGTCCACCTGCACCTGCCTGCTCCACTCCAGCAGCCAGGGCCTGGCAGGTGCACCTGTGCCCCGCCCCCTCAGGTTACAGCCCCGCCCCGCCGGCTCTGAACCAAAGCTGCAGAAATTCCTGCCCTCCAGGGGCTTCTGTGGGGAGGGGTTCAGCCAGCCACAAAACAGCAGTGCCCTGGGGCAGGCCACGGTCCCCTCCTTTCAGTCCCATTTCACGGAGAGGAAAACTGAGACACAGGGTCAGACAGCGGCAAGGCTGCCGAGAAAAAACAAGTGGGGGAGAAGGGCTGGAGGAGACGGTTAAAGCAGAAGCTGCCCCCCAGTTCGGAGGAGCGCTGGCCAAGGCCACACCCACCCTGACGTGCCCAGGGAGGGGTGTGTCAGCAGGGCCTCTACCCTGAGAGCTGAGGGGAGAAGGGGCCCAGGGCCCAAAATAGCCTGGAATTTTCCATAGGCCCTGCAGCGCGGCCCCTCCTGGGTCTCCTCCCATACCCACCCATGCAGAGGCCCCGGGAACCACCAGCCCCCCTCAGCCCTACCCCCTGAAGGCTTCTGAGCCGGGAAGCCCCGGGCTCACTCCAGGAAAGGGAGCCTTGGCAGGGCTATCAGCCACTCACACCTTAGCGAGAGAGACTTCATTCAACAGGTTCCGTCCTTGGGAGCGCCAGAGCTCTGCTTGATCTAATCAGATAAAGCCTAAGCCTGCACCTGCCTGGAAAAGGCCGACGCCCTGAGCGTCCACGGGCTTCCGGCTGGAGCTGACCAGACTGGCCATCACCTAGGGGCTCTCTCAGCCCCAGGGCCAGGAGAGGCTGCCAGGGAATGCGTGTGGAATGAAGTGGGGGTGGGGGGAGGGGTGGTTCCACCGCCCAGCAGTTTGTGTGGAGTTCTGTGGGATTACGGACACAAGCTAGATGGATCTTTGCATCAACCCAGCAGGGGCAGGTGCACGTATCAAGCCCATTTCACAGATGTGGAAGCCAAGGCACAGAGTGCTGAAGCCAGGGCTTCTCACTTTGGTGCACTGAGCAATCTCTGGGGACCCCGGTCCTGCATTTCTGGGCAGCCCCAGGGACGGCCCGGTGCAGGAGGGTGGCAGGGCCCAGGCCTAGGGCCTCGGAGGCGGTATTGTCACCTCGGGCAGAGGGTTCCTCCTGCATACGGTGAGGCAGAGCCCCAGACTCCCCCCAGCCCAGCCGGGCTGAGCCCCAGCCAGGCAGAGCAAGCGGGCCCAGCGCGGGCAGGGGAGGCCCTGGGAGCCACAGAGGTGGAGAGGACACCAGAGGCTGCCAGGTGCCGGTGCCAGACTGGGCCCCACTCCCCTCCATTGTTGTGCAGAGAACAGAATTCTGGAAAGTGAGGCGGCCAGGGGAGGAATGGGGAGGGGACGGCCTGGCTGGCTGGATCCCCCCGCCACCAGCCAATTGCACCACCACCAAGAAAAGTTCAAACAGCAGCGCAGTGGCCTGGCCACAGGGCTCAGCACACGGCCCCAGAGGGGGATCCCAGCTCCACGGCGCACTCCCCCCAGGCCAGGCCCTGCGGGGAGTAGCTCCAAGGACCAGTGCATCAGGAGCCCCGCCTAGGCCGTCCCTCCAACACCGCCCCCCCCAGCAGATGCAGTCACCCAGAGCCCACCCCTGCACCTGCCCCAGCTGTGCCCGCACAGCCCCGGGGAGGGGTGAGGGGAGAGGGGGAGGGCTGGGAACCAGACCCGGGCCCTGCATTATTCATGCTCCCGGCCTCCCTCCTGTTCTCACAGCTTCAGGCCTGACTGTGTGACCCCTGGCAGGCACCTCACTGTCCCCTCATCTGTCAGACGCTGTCCCCTAGACAAGCGCACGGCCGGCTCAGGCAACAATAGCCGTGGCGGGCACCGAGCAATCCGAAATAATCCCTGGCTCCCGCTCCTGTCCCGCTGATGGGACACAAACCCCAGGGCCCGACTCTGCCGCTCAGCAGAACAAAGAAAGACCCTCCCCTCCCTGGGCCTCCCACCCTCTACCCCTGCCCAGGGCCCAGCCCTCCTCCTCCTGACCCCGAACTCTGCGCTCCCAGCCCGGCCGCTCCGCCCCGGTTCCTGGCCAGCGCGGGGCACCGTCCCCCGGTCACTCCCCGACCAGACACAGGGAGCGGCGACCCCGGAGCCCGCCTAAGGCGTGGCTTCCAGGGCGGGGAAGGGCCGCGGGCGCACAGCGGGGAGCAGAGCCCCGGGGGGAGTCCGGGACCCGGGGACGAGGCGGGGGTCAGCTGGGCTGGGTCAGCCGGCGGACCAGAAGGGCTCGACGGGGCGCAGAGAGCCTCAGCAGGGCCAAAATGCAGGCGCGAGGCGCCCCGGTGAGCCCGCGCACGGCGGGCTCGGACGCCGGGAAAAGTTTCGTCCCCAGCCAGCAGGTGGGGAGCCCAGGCAGGCGCGCGCTCCCCAGCTCCCGCGCCCGGACGCCGCCCCGCCAGACACCGACCCGCGGCTGCGTTTCCGGCCCGCGGCCCAGGGGCGGCCAGCGCGGCCCGCGGAAGTGTCCCCCCTCCCGGGCGCGCGCCCCCGCGGCTACGCCTCCCCCGGGCCGGCCAATCGCGCGGCGCCAGGACGGCGCCCCCACCCCGCGCAGACCCGGCCCGGCCTGTCCAGGCAGGGGGCCGGCAGGAGCCCCCGCCCCCCACGCCGCCGCATCCACGCCCCCGCCCACGGGCCACGCAGAA